TTTTTCGATTGACGTGGGAACCATGAAAGCTTGCTGGTAGCCTTTTTCCTACCCTTTGGTCGGGCGGGGCGTTGTGAATGGCATTTTTTTGTTGTTATTCGTTTTTTGGGCAATTTGTTTTCGATGAACGATGAAGTGAGCTCATCTGTCCTCACGTATTGATCGCATGCCCCTTCTTGAGCGACTGACGATAGGGTGTGAAAGACAGGCTCAATCAACAATCGCTGCCTGGCATAGTAGTGGGCATTGACAGGTTTTCCAGTAGTTGACAAAGTCCGGTCTCGCCTTTCAGTTTTGTAATCTCCCGGCGACTAACCGCTGTCTCCAGCAAAGTAGAGCAGACGATACTGTAAAGGGAGGTATGAGCTAGCGTAAATAGGCAAGAACCGTGGCTTGTCACATTCTTCAGGTGGTCTATTGCGTAGGAACGTGGAGACATGACGAGTACCCCGAGTGCGATAATTGTCTTTGTACAGCAATGCGGCGATTTCGGTCCGTGCAGAACGTTGAACACGGAAAAACTGCTCGAACGAAATGCTCATGTTGTCTGAATCGGAATCATCGATTTCCACGAGCAGTGCTCGATACTGTTTGACCCAACAATTGTGTTTTTTGAGCATGTCAGTGATGGATTTTACTGTGTCACTGTCAAGGTGAAGGGTCTTGACCTTAGTCTGGAGATCATGATCGTATATGTAAATGCGAGCGTTGTTACTCACTGTATCATTGAAAGACCCCCGAAAAGAATCCATAACCCTGTGGTACGGACGGCCGTGTAACTTCAACATACTTGGATACGAAGGTTGTGTCCACGTTTTACCGTGTGTTGTGCCACGGCAGGTGAAGGCAAACATGTTGTTGTATGTTCTTTTGTCTCTTTAAAAATTCAGGATCCTTGAAAAGGTTCAACACACTGTCAGGTAAAGGCTTCAAACCGTGCACTACCAACTTCCCCCACAACAGTCATGCTCTCTTCCTTCCGTGTGCGTGCACCACGAAACTTGCACATATTGTTCCCTTCATGAGCTAAACTTAAAAATCGCACTGAAAATGTTCTAGGCAACTGCACGTCCGAATCCCCGAATCTCAAAACACCCAACCGACACGATTCATTTCTCCTTCCTCGTCGAGTACTCATCAACGTATTCGGCCGTTCAGATGTGGAAAATAACTAGGATCTTTGCTCTGAAATCATGTACTTTGTAATCGCAAACGGGAGACCTGTCTCCTCAATGGACGAGCAACACTGCTCAGGAGAAGTCGATTTCGAGTGCCTGACGGGGCTTCTTGGACTCCTTTTGGAGTGAAACACGGGCAGCTTTCTTCGCAGAAGTGGCCGATTTACGCGCGTCAGCCGCGTCGTTGACCTTGACCTCGAGCTCCCGACGGTGTTTCACGGCACAGCCCACGTGGAAGGGCTGGGTGGACTTCACGGTGCATTTCCGACAGGTTGGCAAGCGCTGCCGTGACTGCAAACGTGCCGACCCGACCATGCTGGACAAGGACCAGTTAATCGCCAAGTCCACCCAGCCCTTCCACGTGGGCTGTGCCGTGAAACACCGTCGGGAGCTCGAGGTCAAGGTCAACGACGCGGCTGACGCGCGTAAATTGGCCACTTCTGCGAAGAAAGCTGCCCGCGCTTCACTCCAAAAGGAGTCCAAGAAGCCCCGTCAGGCACTGCCCGCGGGAGTCGAACCCGACTTCTCCTGAGCAGTGTTGCTCGTCCATTGAGGAGAAAGGTCTTAGACTATGCACACATCTCGCAGGATGCCCACTCGCAGGATGCTCACGAGAGTACTGTCAGATGACACTACCTAAACACGTGGTACGCTTATCAATGAATGGAAATATATCCGTGTACTGTTATATGTAGATATTATCAAATAAAACCTGTTTCGACATGCAGGCTATCCACATGAAGCGATGCCATCGAGGCATGTATACCACGGTCAGGGTCGTCACGAAGAGTACCGCCAGCCCATGTGCTTGATTCTGTACTTGTTAACCTCCCGTTCAGAGCCTCGTTTGGTAATTAGCGCCGTCTGACGCTTTGTCTAGGGAACGGGCAAGTCCGTGGCCTGAGATTTTCCAACAAATCTATATTTACTAACTTGTCTCGTCGATGCACATGCGAACGAACATCGACCAATCAGATTGTTTGCAAAGCGCATCTGGATGCCCGATTCCGCCAGGATGAGCACCCAGGACAGGCTCATCGCAGAATACGACTACCTCAACGTCATGTTTTGCCGGGAGCAGGTACGTGTCCGTAGATTCATCGTCAGGGTAGGAGCTTCCCGATTCGAACGGCTACTTCATATCGGAAGGTCAAAGGGATCGTGGAGCACCTGATCCGGCAACGTTTTGGACGGTCGAGTTGGCGACGATTTTCGGGAACAAATATTCTGTAGGTGAAGCAGCACGGAAACAAGCTTGAAGACTTGCGTTTAGAATCATGGTGTGTGCACCGAGCACAGGTGATATCCGGCGTGTCCTGTGAATATTGAACGCCGGAATCGTGATGATTTTCTACGATACCGCTTGCACGCTTGTAAACAGTAGTTCATTAGCCAGGTTCATTCACACCCATACACTCCGACCGAAGGAAGATAGTCTGAAATAACAAGAGAATATGAATCAGGCATTGCCGTAGCTACGCATGTCGAGGGCCACAGCGTACCACAAGAAGCACGGCAAGATACCTATTCCGCGTTAACCGGTTTCGATTGGAACCTTCTAGGAGTCTTCATAGATGACTCGTTTTGGGGAGATACATAATCGCGTTAATCCCACCTCTACGGGGTAGGCTGCCCTCCATGGAAACTGTTTTATCATCTGTGGCGGTTTCGATTCCCCTATTCTAGTCGTGTGCTTCACTCACCTCCCTAACCCCGCTCGGATTGTTTTTCAGAATTTTTCCATGGAGCAGACCATCGCATTTCGTGGTATCACCCTAGAGGTGTTTGAGGCGACCATAGTCAGGGGAGAAATGGATCTCGACGGAGCCTTCGAGGCCTTCACCGAGAGGGTCCTCTCTCTCGCGGAAGTCCCTGAGACAACCACGAGCATACCCGGTGGCGATAACGACGGCAGCAACATCCACAGCAACGAGGCCAACAGTCGGTCACGTACTGGGGGGCTGGCGGCTGATAGAAAAGTCCCAGGCACAGAACAAAACGAAGCAGCTAATACCACCGCAAGTTCAATACCGCGTACCAGGCACGGAGTTGGCGATAACGGCGGTGAGGGAGGGGCGGTATTTTCCGTGGGTGACATCGACGCCATCACGCGGTTCGTGGCGCGGGGCCTCTACCGCAACTTTACGCTCTACCGCATGTGTTTCCAGCAGGAGGCTAGGTCTTGTAGAGAGGTACGGCATGTTCAAGTGGAGGCTCCCCTCGAGCTGCCGCCACTACAAGAGGCTGAAGATGCCCGGTAAACTTAAGTCAGAAAAACATGAACTGGGTTAGTTCGTCCGTACCCTTGTTATTGTTCCCGCTGGTCGCCGGGATCGTCGAAACCTCGGCACACCTGGGACATTAAACGCTGCCTCTCCTGAATATTCGGCTATGGCATACGCCTCCCGGATGACCCCGAACTCCTGTTTCGTGGGTGTTCAGGTCGGTGTCGGAGTAAAGACAACCACAAGAATTTGAGCCGCACCCCACGATAGAACCTCTGCGGTAAACATATACACGAGGTAGCCAATTGTTCTCTCCTCAGGATGCGGTGCGCTTCACCCGTTGCAAGGCGTGAACACGTGCTGGTGTGGGCTTGGTTTAAACGTCCTCTGCGTTCGTCCTTGGACGTTCCATATGGTTATGAAGATCCGTCTAAAACTGGATCATTCGGTGAATCCCCAATCCCCGGCAAGACTTCCCTGGGAAACCCTCGGTGCTCGCAACCTCCCTTGGTTCTAGAACCTATCGCCTCGAAGAAACCAGTTGCAGTTACTACCCGCTGTCGGTCATGACATCACTTGGTTCCGAGCAAAGCGTGGGAAGGAGATTGATGATATCGGAACGAACAGGAAAATTCGACCCTGATGGACATCGTGGCACGTCCCGATTCAAGTGCCACAGCGCCCAAGGCCGCACCAGACGCAAGGTACATCTCCGCGAACGCAGGATGCATAACGCCCACATGCCAAAATCACACACAATCGCCGACACCGCTCTCACGGGTACTCTTGGACAGACGAAGAGGGCACGGCTGCTGTCTTCTGGAAACTAGGACACGAATACGGTACGAGGCAAGAAAACGGCTCCTATGTACAACACTGCGGCTCGAAGGGCTTCTTCTGCTCGATTAACCCATGTACGACTATCGATACTCACCCTGTACATCCTCAACGAACGTGTTCAGTCCTTCTCTCTACTAATGGACAAACAAAGCGCAAACATCCTGGCATGATGTGCGACGGTCGACTCAAACACGATCCCGCGGTAATTCCCCCGTTGAGCCGCAACGTGAGGGAGACCTACCGCGGCCAGCAGGCCCGTCAGTGTCGTCTGCACCTGAAACCCCACCACGTAAACCCCACAGCGCAACCCGCAAGGCGTTCCGCAACAGCACCTCGGGTAAAACCACGCAGGAATGTCTGCCAAGGATGCAACACCCTTCGATACACTTCTCAAGACGACAATACCATACGAATATAAAATAATGGTCCACGAAATTTGACCGATCTGAAAACGAGGCACGACCAATATCTCAAGTTCAATCTGACTACCAAGACCGTGTCTATGAACGCTGCGCTGCCGGTGGCGTAACTCCACCCCATTCACATTTCGTCCATGGTAAGGAGTAGAGTCAACGACTCTGCCAAGCAAGAAAATTAAGCCATACCCACCCCGAACCACCCCCTGAGGATACCGTGTGCCATCCTCCGCGATCAAGATGTTATAACAACATTTTCGAGGCCTCCTTCTCAGCCAGCACGCGAGTAACCATGGCCGGCACGCGAGCGTTCTCTAGCTCCATCAGCCAGGCCTTCTGCGCGTGGCTGGTGATGTCGTCCTTGGACTTCACTTCGACCACCTGCACCTGGCCATTCAAATTACCAACAGGATCAATGGTGCTGATGTTGTCAGGTTCGCTTTGTTCTGTTCCGTCGCCGGGGTCATTGTTGATGGCCGCTCCGTTTTTCACTTTCCACCCTGCGTTGTAGCCCTTTTTTGTACCGAACCGGCATGCTGGAACGGGATGCAGGGTTGCGTGGGATTATACGCCAGGGATAACTGGTACATTCAAGAGTGTTTATCCTCTCTCCTTCGGCGCTTCGTCCCTACCCTACACCGAAAGCGTGCAGATACATTAGTTCAAATCGGCTTGCTGAAAGTGCCAAAGTATCGACGCCATCAACCTCACCTCCCACCCTTGACCGTAGCCCTCCCACCCCAGGCCGAAGTGTGTCTTGGCGCTCCAGTCGAGTCCCTCCTCCTCGCCGGTACCACTGCCACCACCAGATCTGCTCTCGGCAACGCCCTTGTCACTCTTGGGCCTCCAGAGGACCACGTCCGGGAACCCGAAGCGTCTACATGTACGACGAAACAAACAAGAAGAAAAAAAAACGCATAGAGTACCGTCAGGGGGGTGGGTGGGGGGAGGAGGAGGATTTAAGGCTTCGCAGCACCACATCCGAACACCTGAAGGACTCTCGAATGTCATCTTTAGGTGGGGGGCAGAGGACGGTGAGGGACGGTGAAAGCCTTTGCTGTAGCCCAACAACACAATCGATGGTGAGGCATGCTCCATGATAGAGATGTGTCAAACGGAGCAACAATCGTCCGGAACGGGAGGGTGGGGATATAGAATGGCTTCAATAGCACTGATGGTCCGGAAACGTTATCGTGACCGCAACCAGCGGACGGATACAGACATCTCAACGACCGCACGCCCATTCTCGACAATATACCCCATATTTCTTCTGGCTCCTCCCTACTCCTCCGTCAATGAATTCCTTTTCGTTGGTGGAACCTGACAAACTACCTCCGTGTGCTCTGGCGGCCGTTGTCGAGATGGTATCGCCACGCCCGGTTATATTGACACAGAGAGCCCGTGCAACGTTCCACCAGCCTCGAAGTTGATGCAATCAAGTTCGGTGGGCAACGTTTAGCTCTTCGCTCTGTGTTGGAGGGAGGGGTCTTGTTGACACCCGGAAGACTCACAACTGTGTTATGGTGGTGGTTGTCGTACTGAGGAGATCAGACAGTCGCCGCCCGCCGAACGCGGCGCAGATCTCCATCACCTGGTGCGATGCGTCGAAGCAAGGACAAGTCAGGTAGGCGGCATCGAGTGAGCGGCATCGTCTCCTTAACCCCCGAACACTAGTTGGAAGACAAATCACAAATCACGGCTCATTCCTCATTTTGGCCCGACCGAACGCACGTCTACGCAAAGAAAATGACCACGTATCCGGACCAAACGACTGTAGCGTTTCAAAACTGGACAAACAAGGCACGAACGAATGCAGGATTTCGGGAGGCTGGTATCGTCTTTCAGCGCAAACGCACGCAACACACCTGCTGTTTAGGAAACCTGTTCCAGTCGCACCAAATGGCTACTACTCCGCTGAACCTGACGGGTGCGGGGGAATCGGGGGCAACAAGGGGGACGGGGGGGGGGGGGGAGTGCTCGATAGAAACCCCTGTGATATCGTACATGGCGAGGGATCTTCACTGACCATGGTTGTTCTTGCTGCTGCCCTGCTGCTGCTGCTCTGTTGATGATCAGAAATCATTGCAACTTTCCACTATGACAATTGAAACCCTGTCTGCCGTCTGCGCTAGACCCCCTATTTAACGCCCTCGCTGCTGACGATCTACCAACATTGCAAGAGGTGGTCGATTTCCACTGTGCAACAAAGCGAAAGCATTCCACATGCTCTGCAGCACGACGCAACAGATACAGATTCAAACCGCCGAAAATCAAGGGCCGAAACGCAAAAACAGAGTGGAACCGGATGAGGCACCGTCACAAACCTCAACGCGGTGCCAGTGGGGGATCTGGCCGGAGCAGCCAGCACGCTAAAAATCAAAAGCGGAAGCAACGGTCAGCATTGCTGCGAGAAAATGCAAACGACCCAAGTCGGGGGTAGGTTATCCTAGTGCCCCCTCCCAAAGGCGTCGTGATTCAGTTCTCCTTGCCGGATACAGTTGAACCAAACAGAGCAAGGACTACTTCGCTGATTGAACCGCACACATTTTTGAATAGTCACCAACCTGTCGTAGCGCTGCCCGACGTCCAACCACAGCTGCTCATCAGAAGATCGTGAAATTGTCCGCAAACGTCTCGACAGGCCTTCTCTCCGGCTGCAGAAAAACTTGTCCTGCATGTCTAAAGGCGAGCTCTGATCGAAAACCGGGAGGGATGTGGGGGGGGGGGGGGGGGGCCCTTTCAAGGGGGCCCAAAACTGGTTGGGGTTGAACCAGCCACCTC